CTGCAGCTGCGACGCACGCTGGACGAGATCATGAAGCGTGGCCGCTGGGGCAGCCACAAAAGCGTCGCCCGCTACGAGAAGGGCGGCCGTGTGCAGGCGCAGTGGCAGCGGCTGCCCAAAAGTTTCCAGCAGTTCGCCCTGTGGTGCGAGGCCAACCTGCAGCGCGTGATGCTGAACGGCCTCGCCCCGCCCGCCGCACCGTCGCTGCCGCGCAGTGGGCTTTTGAGGACGTCTACTCCGGCTGCGGAGGTGTCGCGGCGGAAGTGACAAAACTTGGAGGCCGTGCAACAGTGACCGATGTCGTGCATGGCCCGGATCACGATCTAACAAAGAATCGAAATCAACAAAGACTTTTGAATCGCGTCCGAACTGGCAGAGTAAAAGGTGTGATGATCGCAACTCCCTGTCACACACTGAGCCGGGCACGTCGTGGGCGCCCACCGCCGCTCCGATCCAACGAGTTTCCCTGGGGCCTGACAGGGCTCAGTGCCGTGGACGTGGAGAAGGTGCGTATCGGTAACTTGCTGACCAGGTTCACGATAAAGCTGGTACGCCTCTGCCTGAGGATGAAGGTCCCGTGCATCGTCGAGAACCCTCTCACCTCAATGTTCTGGATCCTTCCTGAGGTTCTAAGGTTGCTCGCCTGTCCGCAAGTCAAATTGGAACGAGTAGATTTTTGCCAATTCGGAACCCGATGGAGAAAAGCAACTAGACTCATGCTGTGTAATATACCTGACGACGTGTGTAGGACTCTGGACTCTTTTAAGTGTAAAGGGCGGGGAGGGTGCTCTCGGTCTGGTCGCCCCCACCTCGAGCTCTCTGGCAAAGCCCCGAATGGGAAATTCTGGACCTTAATTGCACAGCCCTACCCCCCCCGCCTTTGTAAAAAGCTCGCCGAGGTTTTTCACTTATGTCATCTCGCTCGGTCTGGTCAGGGACTGCTTTCAAACTTGTCGTGATCTGGGGATCCCAGGGCATTCATGGGCCCGGGGCACAAAGTGGTCTTGGGTCTCTGGAGAAGCTTTCAGAGGCTCTGCCGTTGTAAAGCGTTCGTGAGATGATGTTGTCTCGTCTGGCTGCACACTGCATGATATAGAAGCGTCTGCGTGAAAACGATCGCCCTCATGGCACTGTCTTTGACTGGAATGAGGGCGGGTGGAAACTGCGAGAGTGGGAAGCGACCGCGGCCCATTTTTGCTCAAAGTTTTCCCTCCCATTTTTATGTGACTCTCTTTTGCCCAACCCTGCTGTCCCTGACCTTGCCTGGGGTCTCTGGAGAAGCTTTCAGAGGCTCTGCCGTTGTAAAGCGTTCGTGAGATGATGTTGTCTCGTCTGGCTGCACACTGCATGATATAGAAGCGTCTGCGTGAAAACGATCGCCCTCATCATCATCATCATCATCATCATCATCATCCGCATACTCATCATCATCATCATCATCATCATCAGCATCATCATCATCAGCATCAGCATCAGCATCATCATCATCATCATCATCATCATCATCATCATCATCATCATCATCATCATATCCCCCTCCTCATCATCAGCGCTCCGCAGAAGTGGCGACAGCTGCGCTCTTCGCGGCCCTCCAGGCACACGCGAGGTCTCGACGGGGTCCGTTTGACACCCCACTCCGCTGGGCCTCCCAGGAGCCCACGAAATTGGTGATTGATGTGCATCTCGACGGGGTCCGTTTGACATCCCCACTCCGCTAGGCCCCACGGAAGCCAGCGAAAGTGGCGACAGGGCCAGTCTTGGGAGCCTCGTGGGCCGTCTTGGGCGGCTCTTGGGCCGTTGGGGCCCTCATGGGCCTGGGGTCGTCTAGGGAGTGAGTGGGGCCGTCTTGGAGTGGTCGTCGGGGCCTCTTGGGCCGTGGTGGAGCGTCGGAAAGTCGAACGAAGCGACAGCCCCAAAAACGAAACAAATTGATTAAAATCAGCATTTTTGCCTTTTTGGGGACCTCGTGGAAGGCCTCTTGGAGGCCTCTTGGGACGTCTTGGAGGTCTCTTGGGTCGTCTTTGGGCCATCTTGGGCGTCTTCGGGCGATCTTTGTGGGTCTCGGGGCTCTCTTGGACCGTCGCCAGAGGCCTTTGCGGCCGCGACCACTCAGTCGACGAATCCTCGAGACTGTAGTCTTCTGAAAAACCAGCCCCCGGAAAGCGCTGGAAAACTCGCCGCCCCCCCCCCCCCCTCCCCGCCGCCCACCCTCCCCCGGCAGAGCCACCTCGGCCCCCCCCCCCCAGAGGCTGAAGCTCAGCCTCAGCCTCGAGACTGTAGCTGAGGCTCCTTCAAACTCACACGCCGGATCGGCGGATATGCGGACGACACACTCTTGATCGACAGCGATTCTTCGGTGGTGCAGGAGTTGATGAGGTGCGTTGAGTTTTGCGGGTTGCACTACGGCCTGAGCTTCAATTGGGGCAACATCGAACTCATGAAAGTCAGGGCAGACGACGACATCGACAGCCATGCACAACCATGCTGGGGCGCCGATCGCAAGAAAGAGCTCCATCGCACATCTGGGTGCATCATTGTCGGCAGACGGGCGGGTCGGATCCGAGCTAAGCCGCAAACTAGGAGCAGCAACCCAAGTTTTTAAGGTGTTGACTTCGCTTTGGTCACATGCTAGAATGAGCAGGCATCGTAACATTCACAGTTTCAACGCGTGCGTTTTTTTGTAAACTTCTGTATGCGCTTTTGCGGCATGTTTGAATAAAGTGGAGCGGCAACGGCGGGATGCCTTCCAGAACCGATGTCTCCGGAGAGTCTGTCGAATTCCTCATGCGCATTCTAGTGGGGTGTCCAACGCAGCCGTTGTCAACAGTGCTGGGCAAGATAAACTCAGCAATCACCTCGCTAGAAGAAAGTTGGCGTTCATGGGGCAGCTGGCGAGGCGATTTGTCAGCGATCCAGTTCGCCGCTCGGTGTTTGAACAAGGAGATTTAGAGCTGCGCAAGCCTGCCTGAACGAGGGGGCGAGGTAGGCTTCGCCAAACTTGGGGGCACCTTGTGTGGAAGAATGTGCTGGCAGCTGCTGGTTCCCATGCGCGACTCGCTGACTACTTCTGCCAAGACGGCGGTGCAGTTCGCGAGTGGGAACGCGTAGTACAAGCCCGGCCACGCTGCTAAAGGCATGTTGGCTGTTGCTCACGCACCGAGTGGTGCAAGGCTTAACCTGGCCTGATTTGATTCACGTTCACTGAGGGACGTGCCCCGTTGGATGACACCAGTTTGAACATCCAGAATTGTGCCAAACACCTTCCATGGGGCGTCAAAGCCGCGGATCACCGTTATTGTTGCGTCTTGACGATCCTGATTCGCTTCAGAGCACCATTCTTGTGACTTCCACGCCGCGAAGCAGAGCATCTGCTGCATCCTAACAGTCCGACATCGTACCAAACACCGTTTCTGGGACTATAACCATGATAATCTCCGAAACGGTTGTAGATTCTGAAAAACGAATGCGCGCGGCACTACAGCAAACGCCACATCTTAAAACATGAGCCGCCATCTATCCGGGAAGCTTTTTCATTTGTTGAAGACGACTGTGCACGGTGCTAAGGCGAAATACACATTTTGCAAAAGGATCCGCGCTCAATCCGTGAATCTCCAGGCACACGTTTATGACAATTTGGGCCAGCGCTATAGCGAGAGCCATATTCTGAAAACGGCGCGTTGTCCATCCGTGAAACCTTTCTGCATTTTTAAGACGCGTTCGCGCGGCGCTTAGGCGAGGTCCACATTTTGAAAACGATCAGAACACTATCGTTCCGGATCTGAAAAGGCTCAGTTCGAGCCAGAACACAATCGTGAGTTTCATTCGTGGGCGAAGTCGAGCCAGAACGCCATTGTGAGCGTATCAACATATTCTGGGCGTGCTGCTGGGCCGCAGAATCGCGTCCCCCTGACGTCCCCTGTGGAGATTGTGGTGTCAAGGCTTGTGGACCCCTGTTAGAGCCTTTCCTAGGCGAAACGCTATTAAGGAAAACCACGAAGCTTCAGCATGCGACCGCTATGTTCGATACCCTCCAGGGTGGCTTGGATAAATGAAAACATGTATTTCGAAGATTGAAAGCGAGCCACGGTTCAAAACATCGAATCTTTGAACCAATTCGATCCATAACCATTTAGTGAGCGCTGCCCGCAGATTCCGGCCCGCCAGAACACCAATCACTTTGCGAAACCGAAGCGAGCTTGAACATCATAGTGAGGGCTGCCCGCAGATTTTGGGCCGCCACAGCATTACAGTGAATCGAATTTTTGGGCCCAGTCGAGCCCAAACACCATAATGAGCGCTGCTTTACCGCCGCCGAACATGGGAGACGACTCCGTCGGCCCACACTGTGGAGATTTTGGTGGTTATTAAAACCCTCTAGCGAAACGCAATTAGAGAGTCAGTGAGTTTGGCCTTTCGGGGCCCACTTGAGAAGGCTGTTTGGGCTCTGTTGGGGCGTTTCGAGGCTTCCTGGGCCGCCTCTTCGCCCGTTTTGAGACCCTCTTGAGCGGGAATGCGACACGCCCCGGCAACGCCTGGCATTGCCCGGCACCGCCCAGTAGCGATTTGGAACGCTCGGGAAACCGGGGGTTCGGGCCTTTGAGAACCTCACAAACCCTTTGACTCTCAGGGTTGCTTGAGCCTTGGGGCACCCCACTACGTGCTGACGGCACGGTGGCGGATTGTGGATTCCCAGGCAGACGGCTCCACGCCAGCTCCGCTTGGCCGTCGTCGCCGACGGCGTCGTCGCCGTCGCTGCCGTCGACGTCGCCGCCTTCGTTGCCGCCGCCAGCGTCGTTCTCGGTCTTGTCCTCGTCGTTTTCGTCCTCCCTCCTGCCTCCTGCCTGTTCCCCCTTGCTCACCCTTCCACCTCGTCCCGTCCCCACTCATTGTGCCCAGTCCTCATGCTCCCTTGTCTTGCTCCCGCTCCATGTCCCACCCACGTCCCCCTCAACCTTGTGCTCGCTGTCAGCCAGTCGTACCGCTCCGGGGCGGGCGCGGAGGCTAGAGACGGCCCTGAACCTCAAGAAGGGGGTGCCTGGGCTGTGGAATTATCCACCATTGCGTGTCCTCCAGCGTCTTGGAAGAAAGGTGGACAGCAGCTTTACCCAAACAGGCATGCACTACATGATCGTCTTCTTCTTCATTGTTTTGCTGATCGGCGCGGGCCCTCGCACCCTCCTCCCCCCATTGAGTAAATCTTGGCTGTTTCTGGCGCCTGTTTCGAGCAGGTGGAGTTTCCTCCATAGGGCGCACTTTGCAAAGAGTCGCAGTGAGGTCTGGAGCCAGACCCCCCTCCCTCCCCCCTCTCCTCCCATGTCGAAACGCCGAATAAGAAAACGCTCACTGAGTGCTTCTTACTTCGATCTGTAACTGCTTGGGTCTTCTTGTTTGTCTTTGGTGCCCGCCCGTGCCCGCCTCGCGACCGCTTCCTGTGCTCCCCAGCTTCTCCCATGTCCGCCTAGTGTCCGTGGTCTTGCTGGGTCTTGCTGGGCTTTGGCCCGCTGCCCCACTGGTGCACTTTGTGTGCTGGGTGGTCTTCTGGGTGTTCGCCCGGTTCCCGCGGGTGCCCGCTGTGTGCGGCGGCTGGGTCCTCTGGGTGCTCTCCCGGTGCCTGCCCGTGCTCGCCTCGAGCAGTTCGCACCGCGTAGCGTAGGTGGCGCGACACAGATCTTCCGTTCAAGATCATGCGCTCCATCACCATCCCCCAGGGTTGTATCGATACCTCCTGGGACAGTACAATTTGCATATGATTCTGCCCTATCGCTCGAAGTCCATATGACGTCATACCATCCCGCCTAGGCCAGTCCTCGCCCCCCCTTTATCCCAGTCAAATAGTAGTGTGTTCACGCCCGCTCATCGCGAAGAGCGTGTTTTACCGCTGCTGGCGGAAAACCAGGGGGGGTCACTACCGGTTCGAACCCCTCCCCCCCCCCCTCCAGAAAACCGGGGGGGGTCACCACCGGTTCGAACCCCTCCCCTCCCCCCCCCAGTTCATCATGAAAAGAGGGGGGGGTCACTACCGGTTCGAACCCCCCCCCCATCGACCTCGAAAACCGGGGGGGGTCACTACCGGTTCGACCCCCCCCCCCCCCTCGAAAACCGAGGGGGGGTGTGGACAGTGGTGGGGACGGTGGTGGTGGGGACAGTGGCGAGGGGACAGTGGGACAGTGGTGGGGACAGTGGGACAGTGGTGGGGACGGTAGTGGTGGGACAATGGTGAGGACAATGGTGGGAACAGTGGGGACAGTGGGACAGTACAGTGGTGGGGACGGTGGTGGTGGGGGACAGTGGTGTGGGGACAGTGGGAATGTGGTGGAAACAGTAGGACAGTGGAGGGTACAGTGGTGGTGGGGACAGTGGTGAAGGCGGTGGCGAGGACGGCGGTGGGACAATGGGACAGAGGTACAGTGGGGACAGTGGTGGGGACAGTGGGGACAGTGGTGGGAACAGTGGGACAGCTCAGTGGTTCGAACCGGTAGTGACCCCCCCCTCCGGTTTTCGAGGGGGGGGGGGTTCGAACAGGTAGTGACCCCCCCGGTTTTCGAGTTCGAGGGGGGGGGGGGAGGGGTTAGGGGAGGGGGGGTTTTGCCGGGGGGGGGGGGGGATTCCAGCAGGGGGGGATTTTCGGGGGGGGGGGGGGTTTGGGGATCCGGGGAGGGGGGGGCTTTTTTTTTCCACAGTAAAGCGGCGGTGGATCACGCTCTCTCTCTCTCTCTCTCTCTCTCTCTTTCACATATATATATATATATATATATAGATATATGTGTGTGTGCGTGTTGCAAGAATGCCTTGCAAAGCATGATTGATTCACGAACCTGGAAAGGGATTCAGAACTGCGAGACATGGGAACGTTTCAAGCACCTCAATTGGGCGACGGGCAGCGGCAATGTTGAAGATATCAATGATGATGATATTCTGCCAAGGGCTGTGTTGTGCTGCTCTGCGATGTGCCACGCCGCATAGTGACGTGCCAGGGACGCGCCACGGAACGTTCGAGTGGAAGAGCCAGGGGACGCGCCAGGGGACATGCCGCGTTGAATTGTACCGTGTGCTATTGCACTGTGGGTCAAGCCGTCTTTGGCGTTGGATCGTGCCGTGTGCTATTGCACTGTGGGTCAAGCCGTCTTTGGCGCCAGAATCCTGTCCGAATTGATTTGGATCTTAAGCTCGAGCTGTCTGAACGCATAGCTCGGGCTAGCAATCGAAACCCGCGGGGCGCTCGACCAGCTCGAGCTCAAGATCCGATTCAGTTCCGCAGTTCTCGCTTGAGGCACACCGATATAGTATCAGACGACCACACGTTGGACATCGTCCTGTGTAGCCTGGACGTGTGAAGACGTGGTTCCAGCTCGGGACAACCATGTTAGATACCCCCCAGGGCGGCCTGGACACGTGACAACACATGGTCCCAGCTCGGGGCAACCATGTTGGATACAGCCCTGGTGGCCTGGACACGTGACATCACCTGGCTCCATCTCGAGACCACCATGTTAGATATCCACCTGGGTGGCCTGGGCACGTGAAAACACCTTGCTTCAGCTCAGGACCACCACTTTAGAAGCCCAGGGGAACATCTGGAAGGGGCAGAACATGCGGGATGAGGTCCAGAAGCTCAGGCTCCTCACACGTGTTGCATTATGCCGGGGGGGGGCGGGGGTGCAACATGCGGGAGGAGGTCCAGAGGTTCAGAATCCTAACGCTTGTTGCATTCTGGATGGGGGCGGAACACAAGGGAGGAGGTCCATGGGCTCGAGTTTTGGGTGTGCGCAACGTGGGTCTCTTTCGCCCCAGAGCGCAGCAAGCATGAACATACATGGGTTCCTCTCGTCCCAGGGCGGAGCAAGCTCGCTCCAGAGCGGAACAAGAGTGAAAACACGTAGGCCTTCTTCGTCCCAGAATGCCATACGCGTGACAACTCGTGGGTCCTCTCCAGGAAATCCCTGGAGGCTTTCCCAAAGCCCCAAGACGGAGCGTGCCAAGTGATTATGCATTTAGTGCAGATTCGTTGAGTTCGATTTGCTTTTGTGCCCTCCTTCACATTGGGAAGGGGGGACCGCCCTTGGGTGGCCAAGACGCGTGACAACACGTGGGTCCTGTTCGACCCAGAGCGGGATAAGTGTGAACTGATGTGGGTCCTTTTCGCTCCTGGGCACACCAAGCGTGAAAACACGTGGGCCCCTGTCGCCCCAGAGCGGAGCAAGCGTGAAAACATGTGGGCCCCTTTGTCCCCAGAGCGCAGCGAGCGTGAAACAGGTGGGTCCCTTTTCGCCCCCCAACGCAGCAAACGTGAAAACACGTGGCCCCTTTTCGTCTCAAAGCGGAGCAAGCGTAAGGGAGTTGTTTTCACGCTTGCCCCGCCCTGGGGCGAAAGGAGTCAATGCACCCCTTCCGCACCACCATCTTTTTGCCCTTACTGCTCCTTTGCCTTGCGTGCACTGCCCAATGTACAGACTGCTTCTCTTCCGCAGCTACAACTTTAGCTTCAGGGAACGGAACCGGAACGAGTCTGCGGCGCGCGCGCGTTCGTCGGCCGGCGGGCTGGCCTCCTCCCTTCAGTGTTGCCCTAGTGTATGTTTGACGGCATTATCCCGTCTTCCCCATGTCATCGGCGGAGCCCACTGACCATGATATATTATCAGAACATATTGCAGGGATTATGAATATCCAGGCAAAAGACTGATTATCAGCCGGAACGACGACACAGCCGTTAGCTTCGCAGAGCATGGGATCACAAGAAGGAGCGCTCGAACGAACAGAAGATTATTACCCTTCCGAGCGTAACGAAAGTGCATATGCCTCTATGAGGCGACCAAATTCTCTCAACATTCCCAGAGAGCAATCATCAGAAACTGTGTTTGACTTGATAAAAGGGGACTCCTCGGTTGATTCGGCGACGAGGACCAGAGCACAAGCCTCGGGCGGAAAGTATGGCGCAGCCCGATCCCCCGCCGAGGGGCAATCTGAGTTGGCGTCGGTGCATCCGGGCTTTCAGTCATCGATCGACTTAGATCTTGAGATGGAGAAGTTGTTGGGTCACGTCCCCATAGGAATGCCGGGCGCCGAGGGCCTTGGCACCGAACGCGCAGCGCAGTTCGTGTTGCATGGACAGAGCGAGGATGTGAGTATCTTGCAATCGGAAGGGGACAGTTCTCATGTGGATGCTCGTCGGCGCAGCTGATGTCGAGCTCCTCCGATGTTATGCGCGCAGTCAGGAATTCACGAGCATCTAAAGGCATGACTCCCCAACCTATGACAAAGAAGCCGAAGGGTGAGAACGACGACTCAAACTCTTCACCTTTATTGCAAGGTTTCCACAGACCAGACTTTTCATTGCCGAGGACTAACAGGGGCAGAGTACCAGAACTCGACGATCTAGCAACGCAGGACGAAAGAGACGACTGAGCACGGAATCGGGATGGTGATTTCATCAATACGGGTGCGAGAACAAGAAAACAACGCGCGCCTACCTCCAGCATTGAACGGGGGCGCTCCAGCGAGGCCCCCCAGGGCTGGACGTACCTGTTCTAGGGGGTTCGACGCCCTTGGATCACCGCAGTTGTCATCGCATAGAACCGCCAGCAGCTTCTCGGCGCGGGGGGGTCGCTGGAACGCCGGGCCCGCGTGCCCGACTCGGGCGGGGAATCGACGCCCGGGGGGGGCGCGCAAACCGGGGCGGTCACGTCGGAGGCCAGTGCGTTCGCAATGTTCGCATGTCCCAAGTGCAGCCCAGCATGGCTTTGTGAGGAATGCATTACGATGGAAGAACACAAGTGCCATCATATCGCCATCCTAGAGTGGGCGGAAAGAAATAGACACGATCGAGAACAATTGAGGACTGCGAGTGCGCAGATTCAACAGCTCATCCTTGAGGCGCAGGTAGGTAAGAAGGCCGCTGACGAGGCTAAACGCATGCTTGCAGTTTCTGAGGCGGAGAGGCAGGCAATAGCACAGAAGGTGGAATATGAGGGGCATGCCATTGCGGAAAATGCGCAGCAGCGGATGCAACATGTTGATACCAGTGTAGCAGGAGT